TTCCGTAGGTCGTTGTGATTGGCTCTGCGAGTGATCTGCGGGAAAGTATGGGCGGCGCGGGGGAGAGAGTGGAGAGGGGAAAGTCGATGACGTCGTGGCGCTGGTGGCGGCGTCTGGGGAGGAGGGAGTGCGTAAAAAGGGGAGGGCAGAATGCCCGTTTTTGGATCGCTCCCGTCGTTCCTCTTTCTCGCTGTTTTCCTTTCAATGAAAGCGCGATTGCGCACGTCGGCGAGATACTCTCCACCGCAGCGATTCATTGGAAGGTTCCGTCGACTTTTTTCGACGGAATTAGTATAGGCTGTGTGTACGAAGAGGTAACCGATACTGGGCGCATGCTTTTTTAATGATTCCATGTCAGGAGCAGATTTCAGGTGGTAAAGAATGCGACCCTCCCCGAATGCAATTTGCTTTTGTAAACAAAACAAAAAAAAGTCACTAGTTTCCTAGGAAGATTTCGGGGAATTCAAAACATTAGGTCAACAACATAGATGTGGATCGCCCGTGACGTCAGAGGTGACTACTCGCGTCTCTGTAGAGAGCCTGACCGATAAGCGCAGGTGTAGAGATCTTTTCGGAATGGCAACGAATAGTCCTTGTCCCGTGGATCAACGAGAAAAAGCCAAAACAACGAAGTAAAAGAAAAAAAAGAACGCCCACCGTGTTATTATAATTTAACGTAATACTTACGGTCATGGAATATATATATATATATATATTGCCAATGAAATTATATACGCGTGTAGAGATCTCGAGCTTAAAAATGTATTTGTCAAATAAATGTCAACTCTCGAAGTCAAAACGACAAAGTAGCCTTTATATTTGTGGTACGAGTCTACAAATCGAAAAACGACTCCCTTATGCGAAAAAACGACTCGCCCTGCGTATATCTGTAAAGCGTTGCTCCCAGTGAGTGCGAGGCAAGGGATGGCAGACCGAAATCTGAAACGTCCCCGTATCCTAAACCCGGATCACGGCGTGTGTCCCACCGCTTTGGACGTTGAAACCGTGTGGGCATGCATCAATCCAGGTTATCCTCCCTTTGGACCTCGGGAGAGGGATCAAAGTCATTTTGTAGGAAATACATTCTGCACACACTCGCACACACACGGGCACACACATACAGAAACACGCGTGCACAGAATCACACACACGTGTACATAGGGGCACACACGCACCGACACACGCAGATGCACACTTATACATGCGCCTATACTTACAACACACAGGCATCACACAGGCACGCACACACCCATATACACAGACACACGCGCATACGCACATACACAGGCATATATACGCTTCACAAAGGCACATACACGCGCACACATGCACAGTCACAGATACGCGCGTACATTCACAGACATACGCACACACACACGCAGACATGCCCACGCAACTAGCAACACAAGCACGTACGGGTGCACAAACATGCACAAACAGACGCATATGCATACGCACGCACACACAAAGACACGCACACACATATTCATACGCAGGAACGTGCAGGCACACGCGCAGACACACGAGCACGAACCCTTTCATATACGCAAACGCACACAAAGCACATTCGCAAGCACATAAAGGAACACATGCAGACACATATACATACATACGTACGCGCGCACGCACATGTATATGCAGACACACACACACATGCACATAGAGACACACGCACACGTGCACAGCCACACATACACCCACACGCACATACAGACGCGCACGCACACACGTTCACACACACGCGCGCACACGCACGCACGCAACCATAAAGACACACACACACGCGCGCGCACATGCACACACGCGAACATTCACGCACACGGACAAGTCTACATGCACGGACTCACGCAAGCACACGCACATACATACGTACACATACACAAATACGCGAGCAATAATGAATTCGACTGTCGGAGGAAGACAAGCAATGCGATATCTGATAGCATAGGAAAACAAACGCTTTAATCAGTAGTGCGTTTCACGAATATTAGAAAAAAATATCCATATAATCGAAAGCATTGAAACAATGTTTGCCTGTGCTCCACGTCATCGCTTCGATTTATTGATTTCTGCACAGCATTTCTCCATACATGTGATCAGCTTCGTTGAGAGCAGACGACACAGCAGCCATTTTTTTATTATTATTATTTTGTGCAAAGCAGACGACATATGCGGAGCTCTGATTGGCTTTGATTGAAAGGATAGACCTCAATGCTAGATGCCTAAAAGTCTACCCACTATTTTTTTTTTTTTTTTTCAATCAGCCAATAAGAGTTTGGCGTTCTGGCATCACCCGTGTGCATGAAGCAGACGAAAAACACACAATGTCCTTTTGTCTGTGCTGTTTATGTACTTTGTACTTTCTCAATCTCGGGTTTTCAGGACAACGGAAGTTCACAGGCGGTTATTTATACCCAGACGATATGCGTGGTTCTTTCTGCCAAAGCAGACATTCTTTTTTGTTTTTTTTTTATTGCAAGAGCGCCATTTCTCCATTTTTTAAGCAGACAATTTGCAGCGTTTTACTTTAACACACAAACACACACAAACACAGACAGAGACACACACACGCACACGCACGCACGCACACACATGCATACACAGACACGCACACGGACGCACACACACACATTACCTTTTTTTTACCAGAAGCAAACGCTATTAGTTGCTGAACGAACCAACGCTATGCAGGCGGATACTATTTATTTAATTATTTATTGTGCCTCCCAACAACGAATATCTTTGGAATCAAACTTGATTTAATCTTATATTACATCCATGCATGCACTCGTTTTATGCGTATACAACTGCCGAGTTTTCCAGAATGGTGGGTCATAAATTCTGGATAAATATTTAAGCGATAAAATAAAACAAAAATGGGATTTGTCAACGTTGAGGGACCTTAAAGCACTTATTATACCGCGTGACATATCATCACCCTTTCATTGCATTGGATCAATTCCCTGCTAACATGCTGGATTATTTCATTATAGGCAAGCGGAACATGAAGCAAGTTTACATTGTGAATATTACACTTGATCGTAACAGTTAACATGCTAATTTGACTTTCCGTTCACGAAGAGCTTTTCATTATGTGTTTCCTAAAAATATACAATTCAAAATTGAAAAAAAGTTATATTTCATTTAACGATTTTTTTTTCTTTTTTCGTAAGGATTTTCTTAGCGCAGCGCAATTATATTGTGTATACTTTGTAGACACACTTCGATATATCTTAGGCAAAATATGTCACGTGTCAGATATGGCGGCTCTGTAATGGTAATTTAAATTCGGAATGAGTAAATTGTCCTCAATTTGTTTTCCTAAAATTATTAAAATTCAGTTTTGGTCAATTAATATAAATTTGTAGCCTGCGAAATTTGTAGGCGCTATTTTAAGTTGGCTGAGTCGCGGTTGTTTTGCTCTAGAAGTATCGCCCTACATGCAAAAATCAAATTCACGCTAGAATTCCTTCGGATAAGATCACCACCAATGCCCTACATGCCGCAGTCAACAGTTTGTTTGACCCCATTAAATCTGCTCCACACGTTTGTGGCACACATTTGGCCGTCTCTTTCCACGTTGTGAGATGAAACACTATCTTAACCGAAATAATAAGCGTCATGTAGTCGCGGGCCGCTAACATTGCTCAACTATTTTTTTCTCTCCCGAGCTCAGCTCGAGCTAAAAATAGATTGGCGAGCTCAACAAGCGCGCAGTAGTATAGATTATTTTGTACAACTTGTAAAATTAGACGCACAAGGTTTGTAGAATAAAGCCTGGCACGCTGTTTGCGTGTTTAGTCACAATTTGCTACTTTCAATTCGAGTTGGTAGAGTTTGGAGGCAGCGCGAACTGCAAGGCGAGCCCTGTTGACATTCCGCGGCCGAGTGTTTACAGCGAGCGATCTTTTGACGCTTCAAATTCCACTTTGCGCGGGTCGACGAGGTCGATTTTTGTGGGCCGCTGGTTCTACCAACCGCCCCGAACAACCCCTCGAAGTTTGAGTCCGTTCCGGGACTTATTTCGGCACAGAGGAACAAAAGGTTCTCTGAATGCCAAAAAGTGGTCAAATGCTGGGAGCCCGCCGAGCGCGCCGTAGCTTCTCATGGGGACACGAACGTCGACCAAAGTTTTCTCCACCTAAACTCGCGTCTGGAGCGCCGAAACTTTAGCAGGTGGTGGAACGGAGGTGGGACCACACTTTCCCAGTGAAATCCGGACATTTTGTGTCCGAGAAGTTTGCTGAAAAGTCCCGAAAAATCGCGGCCAGCCGAGAGCGATCGCCGGCTCGCTGAGAAACTACGTCACGAAACGGCGAGATGGCTCGGGTGGAGTGCCGACGCATTTTCGCTCGCCGCTCCGCGAAACAGCCGCGAAACGTCGGGAAACTTGCATCAAAATTTGAAATGATGCTCATTCTAGACTCTACAAAAATTTCCGGGCGTAAATCGACTCGTAAATAAGGTAAATCTGCCGAAATGCGACCGCTTCCACCGAGCGACCCCACAGACAACATGGCGGTCGGAGGCGAATTTGTGTTTCCCCGGTGAATTTGTTCCGCTTCTCGCGATGCATTCGCGCGATCGAGAAATGAAACGATGCGTGAAAAACGTCGAAGGAACATTGAATTTCGATTCTGGGCGGTCTACGTCGCCGCGGACGCCGGGAGACGGGAACCCCGAGCGCCCAAACGCGGAATTCACGCAATCGGCGAGCCGGCGACGCGTCGAAAAGAGCTTTTTTCCAAAACTTCTCGACGCCGCACGGCCGTCCAACTCTCCCCGATCGTGAACCGATATCCGAGCTACACATTCCCACAAACAGCGTTCGAGCGTGAGCCGCAGCAGCCACGGAACGAGCCCGTCATTCGGCCCAACAAACACAATCTCAAACTCGGGCCGCTACTTTTGCGGCGCCCATCGGCACGAGATATTGTTGTAGTTCCCCCGGAGGTCCGCGCGCAGCCTATAAAAAAGACCGCTGTGCGCCGCTCTCGCTCATTCGCTCGCTCATCGCGCCCCTGAACGGACCGTCCGCTCGCTGCTCCCCTGGAAAAGGATCTCCCGTGCTTCGTTGTCTTCGAGCCCGCTGTCCAAACCACCGTCAGGCATCATGTCGGAAGCAGAGGTGAGCAAGCCCGCAGCCACTCCCAAGGGGAAGCCCGGTCGCAAGGCCGGCACCGGTGCCAAGAAGGCCAAGAAGCCCGCCAACCACCCCAAGTACACCGAGATGGTCAAGGAGTCCATCGAGTCCCTCAAGGAGCGTGGCGGTTCTTCTCGCCAGGCCATCCACAAGTACATCTGCTCCCATTTCGACGTCGGCAAGGACACCAAGGTGGTGAACACGCATCTCAAGTTGGCGCTCAAGCGCGCCGTGTCCTCCGGACTCCTGAAGCGCTCCAAGGGCACGGGCGCGTCTGGGTCCTTCCGGATTGCTGACAAGGTTCCTGCGGGCGGCGCGGCCAAGAAGGCGACCAAGCGGGTGGCCAAGAAGCCGGCGTCTGCGAAGCCGAAGAAGGCGGCGGCCAAGCCCAAGGCAGCGAAGTCCCCGGCGAAGAAGGCGGCGGCCAAGCCCAAGGCTGCCAAGACGTCGGTGAAGAAGGCGACGACAGCTAAGCCTAAGGTCGCCAAGAAGCCCAAGTCGCCCAAGAAGGCGAAGTCGCCCAAGAAGCCCAAGGCCAAGAAGGCGACACCCAAGAAGGCCGCCAAGAAATGAGCTTCTCGGCGTCCTTGTCATCATCACAACCATCATCCTCATCCATCATGCCCATTGACTTCGATCAGCGATCACCTGTCATCATCCCATCGTATGCCATCGGAAGACCTCACCTTCATTCGCCATCTCGGAAGTCATCAGATGGCCGCCGTCTCGTCTGCTAACGGTGCGGCGCTCCCGAAGTCATCTTGTAAATACTTGTTTATTTTTTTTCTTATGTCATCGCCATTTCATTTGTGTGTGTAAATTATACTTTTCATTTGGCGGAGATCTTGGTGATTTACCTCCCAAGTTCTGGCTTGCTTCTAAAAGCTTGCGAGTATATTTTTTTTTCCCCTCGCATCATTGTGATTGTCTCATCTGCGAATGTTGTCGCAATAAATGGAGATTTTTTTTATGCAAAGTGAAAACTGCCTCTTGTCTTTCCTTAACTATGTTCCATTTCACCCGACGTTAATATCCGCTGCGCGGAAAATTCCGTTACGTGGTTACATAATCTGGCGTGGACTTTGGCTCATGGCGTTGTCTAATGTAACACCTTAGATATACTTTGGAGCGTACCGGACTCTGGTTCTCAACCGCAAAAAGGCTAACAATGACCGTCTGGGAAGGCTTTGGTCAGATAATACTATAGGTCCATGTATTAATACAGGCTAGTCGACTCTTCAGTGCAAACAGGTCTTATAAACACATCACTGCTGACGTCAGCACTTTTCAATATGCGAGTCACCCATAGCAACAGGGACATGATCAATCCGCAATTACGAGGTTGCTTTTGAAGTTAACCTATCCAGGAATCCCACCAGCGTTACACATTTTTACCTTTATTAGGTATCTCCGCATTATTGGATTTTCCAACATTTAATTTACGTGTGGATACCGTTAGGTGCATTTCTGCCTGATCAAAGTTTCGAATGACCTTGTTGATTCTGCGTGGCATGTCATTCATACCATCGCTTTCAATACTGCAGGTAAATCTCCAGGACTCTTGTACGTGTCTACTTGGGCCAGATTGCTTGCTTGCATTACTGGTTTACTACAGTGAGTGAATGACAGAAATAGAGGGATGAGTCATTATCATAATTTCGTGCGCAATATAAGAATACTTCGAAATATTCACTAGCAGCCACCATACAACATGGAACTGATCTCAGTTTCTGATCAACACGACGCACGGATTTGATCACACGGATGGATGCGATGTCCGCACGATTGTTCGGAGATTAATGGATTGGAGATCAATCTCCTTTGCTAATCAAAGCTAGGTGACTGCGCATGATATTATGGGCTCGATGCACCCCAGACACCGTAGGGTGCAGGATGGAGCAAGACGGAACCACGGGAATGCGCTGAATGACCGACTTTGATCGTCGGAAACTCTTTCGACCGCAATTTACCCTACCGTAAAGATAACAAAAAAGCTAAATGCATAAACACAAAAAACAAATCCAGGTCATTCGAGTTGGCGCTTCAGCCACCACCAGCTCACAACCACCAAACATACACAAAAAAATAATAATTCTATACTGACAGGTAGGTGGCGGCATCTAGTTGCAGAAAGTAACAGTTTTTATACCGTGAAGTGCAAGACGTGCGCATAGATGGCGCTTTCGCCGCATATTAAAAAAAAAAGTCCCTGTTTTTTTTAGAGAGGCTAGATGCTAGATTGAAGAGAGGGTCCATTTTAAACCGTCGCGAGCTATATGGTCGCGAGCGGCTGGTCACAAGCAGTCGCGCACCTGGCCAACACCCCTCTAGGAGGTGTTGACCTGGCGCACCCACGGAAAGGGTGGAGGGGCGAGAGGTCATAACCCTTTCAAAGCTCCGTGTGAGTTTTTTTTTTCGTGCGTATTTTGAAGATCTTTTTTTAATGTAAAGTTCGCAACAAGGACAGTGGAAGAACAGACACCACAGAGCGCTAACTTTCAACTGATTCCAAGAGACTCAGCATTGCGCGCATGCGCTGCGTTGTCGCATGGCGAGGAGGAGAGCAGGCGGAAAGGTAGAGAGGGGTTTTGCAGACGATCAACGCTTTTGTTATTTCGCATGCTCGTAGCTCGTATTTCAAACGAAGCTCATAAAACACGTGACACTGATCGAGCAGTTGGACACTCTTTCAGTAAAAAAAAGACTCTCTACTGCCTTCTTCTGCATTGTGGCGCCATCTATATGTAATTGAAGCAGTCTCGTAACTTTGCTCCGCTAGATTATTACGCTTTTTCCCGGCTCCTTTTGTTCGGGATGTGTCTTAATTTATGCCTACACGCGCTTGTTAGAAGTATTTTGTGCCTGAATTTTGACTCCAAGCTTCGAACTCTTGCATGAGATCGGGTCACACTTTTGCTAACCCTCGGTCATGACGTAAATAATCACGTGACTTAAGACTCGAAGAAATAGTTCTAGCGGAAGCAGACGGTTCTCGGCAGTGCACACACAGCGCACTTTTTCCTTGTATTCGTGCGCGTTGCCAAGCGACCCGTGCAGGAGCAGCGCTCATTCGCTCGACCACAAACTTCGCTGGCGGACGCGTAGCGAACGAAATATGGCGGTGGCATCACTCCGTCGGTAACATTCCGTTTGTGTCGCGTGCCTTCGACATGACAACCGTTGTCGGCTGATGTCTCGTCGTCGCGCCTTGTGATGTGTGTGATGGCGCTCGGCGACCAAGTGTTCGTCGACCAACTGCGCCAGGTGTTTGAGTTGTGCGACGAAGAAAACTGCGGATACATCACGGCCGACAAGCTCCGCGAGCTCGGACGGGAACATTTCGGAGGCAGCGAACAGGTAACCTGATTTTTTCTTTTCTTTTTGTATTTACTCACCTGAGGTCAGGTATTTACCTTCTGGTTTGTTAATTTAACCGAACGCGGTTATTTGCATTGCTCCGGTACTTATCTCTATGCTCGGTTTACATTGAAGTTCCGCTTTTGACAGCGATTTAAATCGGAGCAATTCCTGCAGTTGCAGATGCGCCGGAATTCCTCAGAGCGAAGGAAAAAAAAAATATGCTAAATTTTCGTGTCAATGTTGCGTCGCTTAGTTACAAGGCTGCATTGATCGAACAGAAGTTTCGTGGTCACACAGCTGGATTTTATCCAAATATTTGCGTTGACGTCTGCGCCTGGCAAACACGCGATCTTTTGTTGTTGTCGAGTGACTGGGACGAATTCGAAGTTTGCTCGCGGTGGTCTTCGAGAATAGGCAAACTAGCTTCAACTCTGTTTTACGTAAAATGTTCTGACCGTCTAAGGAACTGTAAGAGAAATAAACGCTAAGAAGGAAGGTAAAAGATCAGGAAGCAGATGATTTTCCAAGAACTCTTTTTTTTATATATATATATTTTTTTTTGTTATGGCTGTAGCTAAATTTCATGCCAATATATATATATATATATAAACGAAGGATAATGCACAGACGCAGCAGTTGAAGAATAAAAAAAAAAAAGTTTTTTTGATGAGTAAGAAGAAAGTAAAGCACGATGTAGGTGAACGAGTAGAACACTGGAAAATACATTAAACAAATTATTATATATACTGAAATTCGAAACGAACTAAGCGATTAAACGCACGCAAAGGAATACGTAAAAGAGTAGAACAAGTTTACACTCAAGAAATCAGTGCAAAAGATTAGTGGAATACGAAGAAGGGAGCTTAGTTTGGCTTAGTGGGCCGGCGTCGATGTTTTGATGCCAGCCCGCTAAGCCCCCTTTTCATTTTTCACTAATCTTTTGCACTAATTTCTTGAGTGTAAACCGTTTTACTCTAACATATTCCTTTGCCTGCGTTTAATTTATTTGTTCATTTCGAATTTTAGCATATATATATACTTTTTAAATATACTTTTAGTGTTTTACTTGTTCACCTACATAGTGTTGTACTTTCTTCCTACTCGTAATATCAAAGACTTTTTTTTATATATATATTTTAATTGTTGCGGTTGTGCACCCTTCTTCGTACCCATGCATATATTTTTCAAAACACGCGAATACATAATTGAGCGTTTTCACCTAGTCACCTCCGTGATTGAATACAACCTATGAAACGTCGCTCACGACACTGTCGATGAATCACGAATCAGCGACTAAAAATGTCTCCGCGGAATTACCGCTCATTCGCACTGGAAGCGGATCCGCGTTCGCAGCGGTTGTATAAGGATCCAGTACAATTGCACGCGCACTTGATGTCATCGAGTGCGCTTGCAATTGTACCGGATCTTTTATACAACCGCGTTCGCAACCGCATTGCGAACGCGGATCCGCTTCCAGTGGGAATGAGCGGTTAGATGAGCCATAAACTATCGACGCAATTTCTCTTCGATGTCGAGAAATGCGCTCTCTTGCGCGATAATTAAAGGAATTGCGTGCGCTTTGTAGGCATGTATTTGGCAACGCTTTTTGGTATACCCAACCATAAGCAGCCGATTCCTCCGCGATGTATCAATAACTATTAATAACTATATTGACAATAACTGCGGTGATTCCTTAGTTTGGGATCTTTACGATATATCATTTTCCACCGTACCGGGCATTCTATTTTCGGTCAAGGTGATACAACTGAACAGGGCGAATTCAGCTCCACACGTTCTTCATTGCGATCGGAGCGTCGGTGGCGAAGCAATAACTGAATCATCGTGTACTGTCTTCTCGTTGGCATTTCGTGTCGCAATGGAGACCGGCTGTGACGCACGTGACCCGTGTTATCGATTCATTGGGATCATTACTTTTATTACGCGCCGAAAGCTTGTAGTTCTTTCGCTATCGTTATTTTTATGAGTCTACCGAGTCTGCCCATGTATATTTCGCTGTACTTGGTATCCTGAGTGGGTCAAGGGCGCCGGACAGATCACACCTCGAGAATGAAAAGACCCTGCCCTGGGCGACCGGAACGATATTGCTCCAATTGTGCCAATGAAAAACGTAGCGCTTATAGTATACGTCCTCGTTTGTATTCTCCGAACAGAAACGCCTTTCTGTGGAACACTGAACCGAGTTGTTCCTTGTGGACCCGCTTCAGATAAATACTTTGTTTCGTGCGGGATAATAATGTAATTTAACGCGACCTTGCGGCTAGGTTGTGCGTCTGTTTTGTGAAAATATCGACGATAAAAACGTGCCTCAACCAAAGGTTGCGGATGAAAACCGATATTTTCCTGTGGGCGGACATATAAGATGAGCCTTTTTCGCGTTAAATGGAAAATTAACGCAGGAGATACACGTGGACATAGCGTCCTTGGTGTGGACTACTCAAATTTTAATAAAAAAAAAAAAAAAAGCAAGAAAACGACAGCGCGAAGCGAGGGAAAAGTTTGACGATTTTTTTTTTCTCTGTTTTTGCTGTTTTCATGATATCAAACATTATAGTGGTTCGCAACGTCGTTCACTTTTACATGGAAGGCAAACCAAAGACATTCTAAATATCAGCTCATTGCATTTTTGTTTTTAAGTGTAACTTTTGAATTAAGGTGAATTTTTTAAGGCACATAAACTAGAGTTACATGTGCGCTATTTAGACCAAAATCGATCGAGTCTTGCAGACGCTTTTGTCGTCCGCACTTGAAGACGGCTATGCAAAAGTGTGGTTTTCTACGATATATAAGTACTCTGGGTTTGATCACCGTTGATTCGATCGGTTATTGTAAACGCCCATTATGTCCGCAATTGCAGACGACTATTATGGAACGTCTGCGATTGCAATTTTCGTCTCTATTTATTTGCACTACCGCGTTGGGGAAATATATTGAACGCACTTTAAATTAACCGCATAAATCGGTTTCTTAACTTATCGCGCTGGGATTTACTTGGATTTACTACAGAGGTGCTCGAAGCTGGCGCATTCATTAATTGAGAGTATGAATGCATGAAACCTCCAAAGTCAAAAGAAAGAAAAAAAAAAAAAAAGTTTTGTCTATGGAAATAGACAAAACCGGTTTGTATTTATCTCAAAACCATCAGAAAATCGTTGTGGGCTATTCTGGCGTTTACTACGATTGAAAAATTTGTATAATGGAAAGAAGATAGAATTGGCTTACCTATTCTTCACTTCATTTGACCCAAATAAGCGCCACAGTAACAGATAATATTTTTATTTTTTTTTTGTTTCCATGCAAAGTATTGGGAAAACATAGTTTTTGATTTTTCTCGATTTCCTCGTGTGATCCAATCCTTCCACAATTTTAGCGAAAGCCTCCACACATTTGAGCAGAATGAGCAACGGAGAGGAGGCGACCTTCACTCCAGCGTTCGCCCCGCTAAAGTGGAGAGAGGTTGGAGGAGTTTCCCCCGAACTCTCGTTTCGAGCAGTCCTTGTAAGCGAAGACGGCTGTCCCACAGAGTGTCGTCCCCGATTGGGATGCTGTCCGCGATTGATGCGCACTGTGTTTGGACTGGTACGATCAGTGCAAGGAGTGCCGCCCGGTGTTTAGCAGACGCCCAAGTCACGAGCCGGCAGTTTCTCATTAGAGGGAACGGCATTGGGACACCGGGAGGGAACAATGGGCCCGGTCGGGGAAGCGCGCAGTGGCGCGCCGGGTCATTGGAGCGCCTCAAGGCCTTCTTCTCTTCTTCTTCCGGACTGTTGTGTTGTGTCGGACGTTCGAACGCTCCGGGGGTTATTCGGTTTGTACGGCTGTCTTGGAACGGGGATTCACGCGTAAAACACATATGCTGTCAACACCGGTTATAACGAACACGGTTATAACGAAATAGAGGCTACAGCGAAGCGATCACGCTTTCCCTTTTGCACTTCGTTATAACCGAAATCGGTTATAACGAAATAGCGGCTACAGCGAAGCGCTCACGATTACCCATTCCCTTTTTGCACTCCGTTATAACCGAAGTCGGTTATAACGAAATAGCGGATATAGCGAAGTGAGTTTCGACTCCCGTTTACTTTGTTATAACCGATCTCGACAGTACATACAACTATACAGCTTTTTTCGTGTGGCGTCCTGTCAGCAACGTTTGTGGCGGCATGAGCAGATCATATAAAAGACGTTTTCTGCATTAATGACAGCAGAGTAGTCTGCTCCTCGAGCATGTTGGAAGGCTTCGTACATAACATGTCTGCGGGCAGTTTTAGTATGGCCGTAATGGCGGTATATAAGGAAGAAGCCCGCCTCGGACAACTGACTGCAGACTGTTACAATGTATTGGATAGCGGCTTTCGCATGCTTCGGTGCCTATCCCAGGGAGTTCCTCGAGAAATTGTAGAGTTGCCGAGCGTCATCTTTTATTTGGTTTTTAGGCGTCGAATGCTTTTTTCGCAGAAACGTTTGTGGAAATTTGGCCATCCTTCCGTTCTCGCAGTTCTCCGCTCATCTTAGCTGGAAAATCGACGTCACATGACGGCAGGGTATCACGTTACACCACGTCTTGAAACTGTGACGTCAGACTGCCCGCTAAATGTAGCGGGAAAAGGAACGAACAATGTGGTCTTCTACACTCCCGGAAATGACCGTTTAGTAACCTCTATGGCATGGGTTCTCAGCCCCTGACGTTCCGCGGACCACTTGTGAATGGGCGGGGTTGATGCATGGAGGACCCCGTTCGTGGTGGGGGGAAAGAGAAGGTATACGTTAATTATGATAGTGAGTTAATAAATGGATATAACTAAGAGCTAGTGTGAAGTAAACTTCTCGTATTGACATATACGCAAGAAAACGCACCCGCAAATTGAAACGTTTCTTCTCAATCTGAGAAAAGACAACTTTTATTTCCGGGCTTGACTGATGAGGCAAGGCCTCGCGGACCCCCATTGGAGAACCCCCGCTCTATGGAAATGTCAAAG